TTCCCCTCCTTCTCCTCCTTCTCCCCGTGTTCCTCCTCCTGCTCCTCCTCCTCCTCCTCCTCCTCCTCCTCCTCCTCCTCCTCCTCCTCCTCCTCCCTCGTTTGTCCTCTTGGCCCTCCGCTCTCTAACTCCTCCTCCTCCTCCTCCTCCTCCTCCTCCTCCTCCTCCTCCTCCTCCTCCCTCGTTTGTTCTGTCGCTCTCTAACTACTGGTTCCCAACTTCCGCCGGCACCGGGGGCAACCCCAACAACAACTCCGTTCATGGTGCCTTCAAGCGCGGCGCACTAACACCCGGGTCACCTCAAGTCAGAGCATCTCGGCGCTTGGGGGTCCGAGAATGTCTCTGACGAAACGGGCCAGATCGCGAAACGGATCAGAACACCTCAATTCAGGGCAACTCTCAGTAGCCCAGGGTTCGGAGGATGTCTCGGGCGAAATAGGTCTGAATACCTTGCGAACCACATCTTGGAACCAGGGTATTTCTCAGGCGAGAAGGACCAGAGCACCTCGCGAACCGTATCTTGGAACCCAAAGGTGTGAGTTGCGAGGATGTCTCAAGCCCAGCTCGGAGCCCAGGATTTCGAGGAGGTCTCAGGCGAAACGGGCCTGAGCACCTCGCGAACCGCATCTTCAACCCAGACTTGCGAGGACGCCTCAGGCCAAACGGTCAGAGCCAGGGATTCCTGAGTATCTCGCGAACCACATCTTGGAACCCAGAGTGGTGAGAATGTCTCAAGCGAAGCGGGCCAGAGCACTCCAATTCAGGGCATCTCGAAGCCTGGGGCTCCGAGGATGTATCAGGCAAAACGGGTCTGAAAATCTCGCGACCCACATCTTGGAGTCCAGACTTGTGAGGACGTCTCAAGCGAAGCGAGCCAGAGTACATCAAGTCAGGGCATCTCGGAGCCCGAGGTTCCGAGGATGGCTCTCTGTGGGCCTTAGGGCGCACCCAGCTCTTTTGAGGGCAACCCCTCCCCGGCACCTCTCCAGCACCGCCGTTAGGGTTGCTGGGGTCGCCAGGAGCTGACCCAGGCGACCCAGGCACCCGGGCTCAGGTGCACTGCCCCCCCGCCAGCCAAGGCAAGCCCTGGATGGGGCCCAAAGCAGCCTCAAAAGCCAACCGAAGTGGCCAGCGAGGACCGCACGGCCCCGAAACACATCTCCACCCCGTAAAACAAACCGACAGTTCGAGACCTCCCCACAATCTGGGCGCAAACGGGCCCGTGACACACCCTTCGCTGGCAGAGCACCAGCCCGCATCACCAGGCAGGGTCGAGCCGCGTCCAGGCCTCACAACGAGAAGCGTCTCGAGAGCATTGAAAACAAGATTACTTGTCTGACAGCACTACTAGCACTATCCTTCTTCCCCCTCGTCCTCAGTCATCCTGCTCCTCCTCCTCCTCCTCCTCCTCCTCCTCCCACTCCTCCTTCGCGTCGCACTCCTAAACGGTTGCTCGGAATTGCGGGGACGCTTCATGCGAAACTGGCTGGACCCTCTCGCACACGGCATCTCTTTGCCAAGAATTGCGGGAACGTCTCAGGCCAATTTGACCGGATCACCTCGCGGGCGGTATCTTCACGCCTAGCGTAGCGACGATGTCTCAAGCGAAACGGACGAGGCAACCTCAGGTCACAGTATCCCCGAGCCCAAAATTTCTCAGGATGTTTCAAGCGATATGGGCAGGACCACGTCTTGCAGCCCAGAGATAAGAAGATGTTTCACTAGAAACGGGCCGGACCATGCAAATCTGGTCGTCTCGGAACGCAGACTCGCGAAGATGTCTCATGCGGAACGGGCAAAACCACATCAACATGTTGCCAACGTCTCGACGCGCGGACTCCTCGGGCGGCATGTTTCTTACCGCATCAATGGCCGGGCGACCCGGGAACACTCCAAGACAAAAACTCATTAACGGAAACAAGCGAAAAGTTTCCATATTTGCTTCACCGAAGCCACGATCCTTCTGCAAATCGCGCAATGTCCCCGAAGCCACGGCCACTTCTCAATTACGCAGTAATCGCGTCGCTGAGACCACGATCCCTTGCACAATATATAGAGATCCGCGTCCCTCAAGCAACGATCCCCCGTAACTTACGCGATATCTGCGTCCTCGAAGCCATAATCCATTGAACTTATACCAAATGCGCGTCCTCAAGGCCACAGACCCGAATAAAGTATACAACGTTTGTGCCACCGAGGCCACGGCCCCTGCAAATGATGAACATGAACGTCCCCGAGGCCACGATCCGTCGTAACTTACGCCAGATGTGCGTCCTCGAAGCCATAATCCCTGGAAAAGTACTCGATATTCGCATCCTCGAGGCCATAAACCATGTACAGTATAAAGCATGTGCGCCAGCGAGGCCACGATCCCCCGTTAATCGTAGATATTCGCGTCCTCGCGGCCACGATCCTTTTGCAAATTACGCTGCGTTCGCGTTCCCGAGGCTAGGATCCCTAGTAAGGTACGCGAAGTCCGCGTCACGAGGCCACGATTGTCAGCAAGTTCGCAGGGCGAACCTTCAGAATTCGAGAGATGTGTTTCAGTTTTGCTGTGCAAATCGTAACGTGGGATGCTGACCTTCACGCAAAGTCCCGACATTGCTTCACGACGGCGCCCTTTCATCCCAACTTAACTCTGGCATGCCCCATGCCAAGAGAGAGGGGGGGCTAGCGGCAGTGGGCGAAGCCCTTGCAGAAAGGAAGAGCAAGGAGAGACAAAAGCAATGAAATCTTGGAGAAGTCATGGCCGGCCATGACGTCAAACACACACACACACACACACAAACACACACACACACTCGGGGGCGCGCAAACATGGACTAGCGATCCATGGATTTGGCGCGCGGTCCCCCAATCTATGGATCGGGGGAGGTGCCCTCCTCAAAATGCGGCCGGTGCCGACTCGCTCGGCAGCGGAAATCCGTGATTTCCCATGGAAACGGGATCCGACGCTAATCCACGCCCCCTTGATCCATTTTTGCGACCGCCAGACACACACACACAAACACGGCCTCACTCCCGTCGTCGATGCCCCCGACGGCCTCGCCTGATCCTTCTCTGGGCCCGCAGGCTCGGGGAAAGAGGCAGGACGAGAAAGGCTGACGAGGGCTCCTTGTCCGGGGCCGCGGGTGCCCTCCCAAGGAACGCCGCCGCCGAGAAGGGGGAAAGAACTGTGCTTCCGCCTCCTCCTCCTCCTCCTCCTCCTCCTCCTCCTCCTCCCCTCCGTCCCTCTCCCGAACGCGGACGAGGTGCGGGGTGGAGGAAGAGGAGGCGGGGGGAGGAAGAGAAGGAGGAGGAGGAGGAGGAGGAGGAGGAGGAGGAGGAGGAGGAGGAGGAGGAGGAGAGGAGAGAAGAAGGGGAGGGGGAGGAGGGAGATGGAGCAGCAGGCGCGGGACGCGGGGAACACCTTATCCGCGCCGCCCAGGGGCTCCCCGAGCAGGGCGCGTGGGCACCGCGCAGAGGGGCGCACGGGGCCTGTGGTGTCCACCTTGTCGTCGAGAATGAAGACGCCTGGGCGCGCAAGCGGTGGTGGCGCCCCCGATCCTGCTCCAGGCGCTGCTCCTCCTCCTCCTGATCTTCCTCTTGCCTCTTCCTCCTCCTTCTCCTCCTCCTCCTCCTCCTCCTCCTCCCAGTCGTCGTCGTCGCCGACGTCGTCGTCATTATCATCATCACCACTATCATAATCAGCAGCAGCAGACTATCAAGCATCATCAACATCAGCCTCCTCATCACCACCATCTTTTTTTTATGATTAGTATCATCATCATCTTCATCAGCATTATCATCATCAGCATCATCATACTCATCCGCATCAGCATCATCATCATCACCATCATCATCAGCACCAGAAACATCAGTATCATCATCATCAACAACAACAGCACCATCATCATCAGCAACATCATCATCAGCATTAGCATCAAGAGCAGCATCATCATCATAACCACCCGCATATGCTTCAGCGTCATCATCATCAGCATCATCACCATCATCATCACCACCATCATCATCAGCACCATCACCATCACCATCACCATCATCATCATCATCAGCAGCAACATGAGCATCAGCATAATCATAAAAATTGTTGCCGCCACCAACGGCATCGTCATCATCATCATCAGCAGCATCATACTCATCAGCATCATCATCATCAGCATCATCATCAGCATCATCATCATCATCATCACCGAAATCATCATCATCATCAGCATCATATTCACCATCATCGTCGTCATCCTCGTCATCGTCGTCAACCTCATCATCATCATCATCATCACCATCACCACCATCACCGTCGTCATCACCATCATGATCGTCTTTAGCATCACCATTCGCAGCACCAACATCATCATGATCGTCATCACCATGATCATAATCATCATCATAAGCATCATGATCGTCATCATCGTCATCGACATACTCATCGTGAGAAACAGGAGCATATCATCACCATTACCATCTACATCCTCACCACCGTCGTCTTCCTCACCAGTATAACCATCACCAACAACACCATCAGCATCGCCTCAGCATCAACACCATCAGCATCATCAGCAATATCATCAGCATCAGCATCCGCATCGCCATCGTCATCATCATCATCATGATCCGCATCATCAGCACCATCATCCTAACCGTCTCCAGCATCGCCATCATTCGCATCGCCACCATCATCATCTTCATCATCAGCATCAGCATCCTCATTATCATCATCACCATATTCATCATCATATTCAGCATCATCGGCATCAGTATCACCATCAGCAGCAGCATTATTATTTCTATACCATCATCATATTCAGCAGCATCACAAGCATCATCATCGCCAGCATCATCATGATCGTCAGCGTCAGACCCATTGCCAGCAACAGCAACAGCATCAGCCGCACCTTCATTAACATCAGCATCGTCGTCGTCATCATTAGTATAACCATCATCAACAACAGCATCAGCATCGTCCGCATCGTCAGCATCATCAGCATCAGCACCCGCATGGACAGCAGCACAAGCATCAGCATCATCACCAGCAACAACATCATCACCAACAGTATCATCCTAACCGTCGCAATCATCGTCACCATCGTCGCCATCATCAATAACATCAACATCGTCAGTATCGTCATCAGCATCGTCGTCATCATCATCAACATCATCGCATCGTCGTCGACATCAGCGTCGTCACCATCGTCATCGTCGGCAGAGTCATCCTCATCATCAGAACCACCACCATCATCATCAGCAGCAGCATCATCAATACCATCCCCGTCACCATCATCATCTTCATCATTAGCATCATCACCATCATCGTGATCATCACCATCATCATGATCAGCATCAGCATCAGCAGCAATATCAGCATCTTCATCACCATCACCACCATCACCTATCATCACCATCGGCATTCGTATCATCATTATCATCATCAGCATCAATATCAGCATCAGCGACATCATCAACATCATCATCATCATCAGCAGCAGCACCAACATCATCATCACAATCATCATCATCATCATCATCATCATCATCATCATCATCATCATCATCATCATCATTCTAATCATCGTCACCGTGGCCACCTCCTTCATCCTGACGCTGCTAATCATCCGCCTGTACTTCTTGACGCTGCTGCTGCTCCTCGCCCTGACGCTGCCGCTGCCACTGCTCGTCCTCGTCCTCACCATCATCACCGTCGTCGGTACCATAAGCACTGTAGCAAGACTAAGAATTGGAAAACCGTAGCGTCATTATCACCATCACCACCACCATACTCAGCATCGGTCCTTGCCCTCACCATCCTTCCTCCCTCCTCCGCATCCTCCTCCTCTGCCCCTTCCTGACCCTCCTCACACTCATCATCACCATCATCATCACCATCATCATCACCATCATCGTCACCACCATCAGCATCAGCATCATCATCATCCTCATCATCATTGTCATAATCAGCATCAGCAGCATCATCATCACTACAACCATCATCGTAGTCGTTGTCATTGTCATCGTCATCGTCATGGTCATCATCATCATCATGATCAGCATCATCAGCATCGTTATCATCAGTCACATCATCATGATCGGCATTATCATAATCATCATCAGTATCAGCATCACCATCACCAACATGGTCGTTGTCGTGAGATCATCATCATCGTCATCATCGGTACCATCACCATTATCATCATCTGCATCATCGGCATCAGTGTCATCCTCGTCACCATCATCATCATAATCATCATCTGCATCAACATCGTCATCATCGTCACCATCATCATCAGCACCATCATCAGCAGTAGCATCATCACTTTCAACAACAGCAGCAACATCACCATCATCATCGTCAACCCCATCACATGTTCTCATCTTCCCTATGCTAACTGCCGTCTTCACCCGCCTCCTGCCCAGAATTACACAAGGCGGCAGGTGAAGACGGGCGCGGCTGAGCGAGGCCTGCGCTCAAGTCTTCGTCTCCTCGGAGCGGTCGGAGAAGGAGGACGACGAGCAACAGGAGAAACGCGAAGAGAGCAATCAGAAAACAGAAGGGCATCGATACCGCTGCCCCACTCCCTCGTTTTAGTCCCTTGATGTCCTGGGCAGACCTCGTCGCCACGGCAGGAGAGATCCAGGGAGCAGCGATATCGGCATATTTTCCCACCTCCCAGCAAGGGAAAGAACGAAGAGGAAGATGCGGAAGTATGAACGCGGCTGTGCTGCTGGCAAATTGATGGCGGCGCCGTGGATACCACCCGCCCGAGATCCGCCACCGTACGCAGGCACTGAATGGAGAGTCCTCAGGTCTCTTTGGAGCTCTCTGCATCAATCACCGTGAATCTGGACGCCCGAAATGGGTACGGAAAAAATGGGTACAAGGCCCAACAACAAATGCTGTCCCAAACCGACAGCGGCCGCTGTTAGAGAGGCGGCCTTCTGTCTCAAACGGACACAGGCCGCGGCTGCGCGGACAACGAGTCCTGTTCAAAATGAACTTCGAACTGCCGTTGGGCATTGTGCCCCTTCTTTCTGTGCCCCTTCCGTGCGTGCAGAGCGAGCGCGCGTCGGAGGGCCCTGGGGCCGGACTTCTGGGCACCTCTGGGCGCTCGGGGGGCGCACCGCGTGACCTGTCTGGAAGTGCAGTCAAAATCCCTGACAAGGACGCGCGGCAAGGACGCAAAAGACCCTTGGGAGCCCAAGTTGGGATTTTTGGGGGCGGCGGGCGACGAGAACCTCGAGGACGCAAGAGCAAGGAAGGGCAAGGACGCAAGGGGGCACCCTGAGCAAAGTCGCGCGTCCGCATTAGGGCTTTTGACTGTGACCTCCCTCCTCCCTCCTCCCTCCTCCCTCCTCCCTCTTCCCTCCTCCCTCCTCCCTCCTCCCTCCTCCCTCCTCCCTCCTGTCTGGAAGTAGTTCGGCCACGCAGGGGGAGCACGGGCTGGCTCCAGGAGCCCTCTGGTGCCAGGACGGCCCCCGAGGCCGGGGCCGCCACGGGGTCCCAGAGAGGCGGGGCCCCCCCCCCCCCGCTGGAGGCGAGGCCCCAAGAGGTGCCCAAGAGGCCTCGCGGAGGCTCTCCAAAGGCATCCCAACACGACCCCGAGAGGCATCCAATTTGGACGACCGACATGGGTACGGAAAGAATGGGTACAATGCCCAACAGCAGTTCCTGTTCATTTTGAACAGGACTCGCTGTCCACGCCGCCGCGGCCTGTGCCCATTGGGCCCCCCCGGGAGGCGAGGCCCCAAGAGGTGCCCAAGAGGCCTCGCGGAGGCTCTCCAAAGGTATCCCAACACGACCCCGAGAGGCATCCAGAGGGACTCTAGTGACGAACCAACAACACGCACCCATACCCATAGGGGGGGTCGGGGAGGGCTATGGGTGCGTGTTGTCGGATGGGGGTCCCCGTTCGAACGGGAGCGTTCCCCAGGGTCCGACAACCCGCACCCATACCCATAGCCAGTCCTCCTCCCAACGACCCCCCTATGGGTATGGGTGTGTGTTGGTCGTTCGTCAACTCTGGCCCACAACCTGGGCACGGTTGCAGGATGTGGCGAAGGACACTAGGTGCGCCGCCCCCGTTGCTTGCAGTGCGGTGCCTGGCGTGCCGGACTCATGAAATCAGTTTAGCCCTTCCGAAAGGGTTTCCGGTGAAGTTCCAGCCGATCGCGCCAGCTACGCAGAAAAAAACAAAAATCCGCCCACAGTCAGCACAATCCGCTTTCACGACAACCAACATGGCCCAGAATATCCTCCAAGACGGTCTCAATACGTCTCCCAGACGGTCAGGATAGTCGCAAGAAAGCCCGAGATTGGCCCAAGATGCCTCCAAGACGGCCCCAGGGGCCATCAAGACGGCGCACGAAGGCCGCCTCCAGACGGCCCAAGAGGCTCCAAAACGCCCCAACAGGGCTCCAGGAGGTGCTCCAGGACCCGAAGAAGACAAAATCATCGGGCCCGGAGCAAACAAAATCATTATGGTTGTCCTGTGGTTTTCGCAAGCTCGCCATGTCGGCCTGAAGAACGCCGAAGAAGAACCACGAGGCCCCCAGGGGAGGAGATCGATTAGGCGTGTGAAGCCCTCTACCCCAAGAGATCCCGAAGGTCCGCCTCCTGGCCTCCAAGAGGCCCCCAAGAGGGCGCGAGGGGCCCCCCAGGGGTCTCCAGGAAGCCCCCAGCTCCAATTAGACCCCAAGAGCCTTCAAGGAAGGCATCAAAGGGCCCCAAGGGGCATTCGAAGAAACCCAGAGAGGCATCTAAAACGCTTCTTGTCCAAGACGCAGGCACGGTGGAGGGATTGTCCGAAAATCACTAGAAATATTTAGGACGCATCTGAATATCTGCATGACAAGACACACAAACTGGTTATCACCCTTGGCGCCATGAATCGCAACGCTGATTCAATATCCGCCAACTTGCCTTCTGGCACGTTGGGGCGTCCTAGAATGCCAAGTGCTGTCTGGTATGGTGTCTGTAATCGTCTGGGGCCTCCCCCTCTTCCGCCACGCTGCGCCGCATGCACCGCCCCATGTCTCGAGGCCACAACCATTCGTAACATGCAACATATTCGCACTCTCGACGCCCTAACCCGTCGTAAAATGCGACGACTTCGCGCTCCCGAAGTCACACCCATCGTAAAATACTACAGAGTTCCGCTCTCGAGGTAGCAATGCACCAAACAAATCCAGGACGGTCCAAGAGGGCCTCCCGTAGGACCCATAACGGTCTTAGAAGGCCTTTCGACTGCCCAAGACGGCCCCACGACAGCCCTCAGACACCCACCATGCGGCCAAGAGGGCCCCAAGACGGCCCACGAGGCCCACAAGACGGCTTGAGAGTGCCCCAAGGCGGCCCAAGAGGGCCCCAAGGGACCACCAGGACTGACTCACAGGAGGGCAAGCCAGCTCCAAAACGGCCCAAAAGAGTTCCATGAGAGCATATCAAACAATCAAATCGCGAAGTGTTACATGTGACAGTCGTTCTCTTCCCGCTTCTCCTCCTCCTCCTCCTCCTCCTCCTTCTGCTCCTCCTCCTCCGTAATCAGCAGCATCATCATCATCAGCAGCATCATCATCAGCAGCAGCAACAGCGGCACATCATCACCATCGCCATCAACACCATCACGACCACCATCATCCGCATCCTCATCCTCGTCCCCATTCCCCTCATATTGAGCCGCAGTATAGTATCCTGACCACCATCATCACAATATCACCACCAGCGACATCACTATCATATTTACCATTACCATCCTGATCAACAATATCATCATCATCATCATCATCATCATCATCATCATCATCATCATCATCATCATCATCATCATCATCATCATCATCATCATCACCATCATCACCATCATCATCATCATCATCATCAGCATCATCATCATCATCAGCATCAACATCAGCATCAGCATCAGCATCATCATCATCATCATCATCATCATCATCATCATCATCATCAACAATGTCATCATCAACGTCACGGCTATCCTACCCTCGAGCAGTCGCCACCGAGAATGCTAGGCTGGCACGGCGGCGGGACTTGCCGCAGGCAGCTGGATAACTACCGAAATCACCCGTCTGACACCAAAACTCCAGAAAACTCAGAGTGACAAGACAAGAGCTTTGGATCTTGAGTCGTCGACACATTTTTCATATGCGTTTCCCATTCATTTCCACCAAACAGCTGAGCCTGCCAGCGAGGTTGGTGAAGGCGGACAGATGGGAGCTCAGGTTATAGAGTTTCGTGCGTAATTCTCACTCGAACGCGTCAAGAAGTTCCAGGGAGTCTGGCAGACTCACAGTATATGAGCATCTGCATCGCCGATCGCAATAAACTGCCCCGCTGCACCGAATTTAGACGGCCAACTGGAGAATAATGGATACTGGATGCTCGGATGAGCGGGCGCTGATGAATTCTCCCTGGAGCCAGACGAGAGAAGGAGCCCCTGCCACCCACCATGCGCTGCGACCATGCCATGGCACTTGCCAACCTGTGCCTGCTCCCCTAACATGTGCAACGTGTCTAGGGTGCGCCGTGCACACAAAGCACATGACGAGAACCAGCTCGACAATACCCTCTCAGGCGGCTGCGTCCTTCACACCGGGATGGCCCGCTGACGATCTGCCCCCCCCCAGCAGCAACAAAGTTGCGTGCAAAAGCACGGGGGGCAATAGAACAAATCAAGACTGTTGTCAATAGTGCTTCCGGTTGTTCATCCCATCCGTCACTCCAAGATGATACGCAAATTGCTACAACATTATACAAACACTCCATCTGCAGCTGACTCCAACTCGAGGCGATCGCTGCTGGCATCACACGTGTAAATCCAACTTCGGCTGTTCGATGCTGAAAGGACTCCTCCTCCTCCTCCTCCTCCTCGCCTTCCTCCTCACAATCATCCCCCTGAGACCAACTTCCCCAAGCCCCCGCATCTTCATACTTGATTTTTGTCCCCCCTCACCGCTTCGTCATCATCCTGGTCCTCATCTCCCCCTTCTGCTGTCCCTCGCCGTCAGCAATGTCGGAGATTGGGGGGTGAGATCGCAATGAAACGGAGACCCCCCACTCGGAAATCGGCTTCGGTTTCGTGTTCGTGTCGCGCGTGCGGGCGAGGCGAAGCTGCGCGTGATCCTCCTGTAGCTAGGCCGAAGTAGGAGCGAAAGTCCGTTCCCGTCCGCCGGTGGCTGGGAGGTGTCCCACACCAGGCCGGTTTTGTAAGCTTGCGCTTAGCGTGTATGCAAGGAGTCCTCCCCCCGTCCCTCCTCCTTTCACTGCTCTTGTGGCAGCAGCGCCATGGCTCCTCCTCCTCCTCCTCCTCCTCCTCCTGCTCCTCCTGATCCTCCTCCCCCCTCCTTCCCCTCCCTCCTCTTCCTTTTTTCTGAGGGCTGCGCTTAGCGCGTATCAGGGTAGCCCTGGGCCGTTCCGAAATCCAGCGCTTAGCGTGTATCGAGGGAGCCCTCCCAAGTTAGAGAAATGCATCCAAGGTTCCAGCCCAGGCCCCGCCACAGTGCTTAGCGTGTCGCGGGCCACGCCCGGGGGCCACACAAAAATAAGGTACACGCTAAACCTAGCCTACCAACCGTACGCAGACTGTTCCGTAGACATATGGAGCATTCTACGCATTTTCGTACATCGACGGAAATCAACAGTGGTCGATTCCCTACTTAAGTCGTATTTCGTCGTACGCACATCTTCGTTGCACGTCGTCGTGCACGTCGTTGTTCGTGTCGTCTTGCACTTCGCGGAACGCGTCGTCGCAAGGGTGATCGGACGTTGTGGAATCTTCGGACATCGGCGGCGGCGGGGGCCTCGGACCCCCTTGAGCCCCTTCAGCGCCCCCACTGGGTCCCCCTCGGAGCCCCTTGGGGCCCCCTTAGGGCCCCCCGAGGCGCCCTTGAGGCCCCCTCGGTATCCGTTTCGTCCGTGTCCGTCGTCGTCGTCGTCTTCGTCGTCGTCGTCGTGGTGGTGGTGGTGTTGGTGGTGGTGGTCGTCGTCGTCGTCGTCATCGTCGTCGTCAGCGTCGTCGTCAGCGTTGTCGTCGTCGTCGTCCGTGTCCTCCAAGAATGTTGGCTTCGCCGAGCCAGAGTCCGCCGGATCGACAGGAAATCAATACAAATCGGCTGACCCATCGAATAGGACCCGAACTGGCTCGGCAAAATCGAGACTGGAATCGCACATTGGAATGCCCGCAACGAGTCGGATCGAGTCGGAACCGCGGGAGAAAGATTCGAATCGGCCCGGCTCGAGTCGGAAAGCGCCCTGCTTCACTCCCCTTCGGGGGATCTCAACGGATCACCTCACCGAGCCTGATCCAGCCGATCCTGGGCCAAGGATCGGCCAAGCCGAGAGGGCCACCAATCCTGGGAACAGGATGGGCCTGGCCAGGATCGGTCAGGTGATCAGCGTTGACAATGCAGGACAGCCGAGAATTGAATCGATCGGATCGGCGGAAATCGGCAGCCGAATCGGGAAAAGTCGCATCGGCAGAAATCGAATCGAATCGGAAGCCGACTCGGAATCCGGAAGCCGACTCGGAATCCGAAATCGAATCGAATCGGAATCGGAATCGGAAGCCGTCGAATCAAATCGAATCGGGGGAATCGAAACGAGCCCAGCGATGTCGACCGATCAACACCACCATCTCATTATTCATCATCATGTTGATCATCACCATCATCATCATCATCATCATCATCATCGTCATCATCATCATCATCATCAACATCATCATCATCATCATCATCATCATCATCATCGGCATCATCATCATTTCATCATCATCATCGTCGTCGTCATCATCATCCCACCACCATCATCAGCATCATCATCACCATGACCGCCACCACCACCATCACAATCATCATCACAGTCATCATAATCAGCATCATCATCCTCGTAATCATCATCATCAGTATCATCAACATCATCGTCATCGTCATCAGCATCATCATCACCATCATCAGCAGCATCGTCATCAGCATCATCCTCATCATCGTCATCATCATTACCATCATTGCCATTAACATCATTAGCATAATCAGCATCAACATCTGCATCATCAACATCATCACCATCAGCATCATAAGCATCATCAGCACCATCTTCATCATCATCCGTATCATCATCACCATCGTCACCATCATCATCACAGTCATAATCATCAGTATCATCATCGTCCTCACCATCATCATCAGCATCACCAGCCGCATCATCATCAGCATCAGCATAATCATCATCATCATCATCAGCATCATCATCATCATCATCATCATCACCATCGTCATCGTCATCGTCTTTATGATCATCAGCATCAGCATTATCATCATCCTCGTCGCCGTCGACCATTATCGTCAGCATCATCATCAGCGGCATATGTTTTAGAAACATCAAAATCAGCACCAGCTTCACCAACACCATCACCAGCGCCCTCGATCCTCCATCATCATCATCATCATCATCATCATCATCATCATCATCATCATCAAAGTCAGCATCATCATCAGCAGCTTCAGCTTTAACATCCTCGTCATCTCCATAATCATAATCATCACTAACATCTGCATCGTCATCACCAGCATCACCAGCAGCATCATCGTCAGTATCATCAGCATCATCAGCATCATCATCAGCAGCACCATCATCAGCATCCTCATCAGCATCCTCTTCAGCATCATCATCAGCATCATAAGCAGCATCATCAGCATCATCATCACCACCACCATCACCATCACCATCAGCATCTGCATCATCATAATCATCATCATCATCATCTTCTTCTTCTTCATCATCATCATCATCATCTTCATCATCATCACCACCGCCATCATGGTTGTCATCGCCACCATCCTCATCCTCCTCATCAGCATCATCACATTCAGCATCACCATCGTCGTCGTCGTCGTCATCACCATCATCATCATCATCATCATCATCGTCATCATCATCGTCATCATCATCAAGACTAGCTCATTTCCAACCGAACACTCATCACCAACCCCCTTCCTCAATCTCAGACCTATTTGCATCCCTATCCTCACCCTGACGCTCATCCAAGTCCTCGCTCCTGTCCTCACGTCCCTCGTCCCCCTCTGCCTTCACACCGTCCTCCACCTCGTTTTTCTGTCATTCTTCTCCTCCCATCCCCCCCACCTCCTCCTCCTCCACCCTCTATGTCGCCAGACGCCGTGGTTGCCCCATGTGCCCCGCACTGGCGCCGCCGATTTGGCATGGTCCCACTTCCACTCCGTCTCCTTCGGCTCGGCGTCCTTGCCTTTCGCGGAATATGAGCAGCAAGACCGCCAGGCGTTGACGGCTCACACAGCCATCGCCGATACCGCTGCCGTTTCCACTAGTGCCGACGCAACCTGCACAGCATCGATTACTGCTGGGATGACTGCTACTGCCACTGCAACTCATTATGTTGTTGGTGACTACCTACCAAACCACCCCAACCCAACCCGAAGACCCGAATTTCGGGTTGGGGGGGTACGAGCTTCATGTGTGTTTTCTCAACGTTCCCCGACCCCCCCCAACTGGAAATGGAGGGCAAATTGAGGCCTTCGGGTTGAGTTGGGGTGGTTTGGTGGGCGGTGAGATGGTACTGGCGGCATACTACTGCAGGCTCGGATCGAGCCGTCCTGCGCGTTGGCATCTGACACCGCGATGAACCTTCAACCCTAAACGACCGGCCGGCTTTCCGAGCCGACCTCCAGATATCTGGGTAGTCGAAGCCAATCTGGCGCCAATCTGGCAGGCCCAATCTGGCAAACGGGGGCAATCTGGCGAGGGAGCCAACGCGAATCCAGTCTGGCGAATAACCCAAATCATCCAGTTTGGCCGGGCCAGATTGGCCCTTGGGGCCCAATCCAATCTGACAGTCTGGCCTTCGACTACCCAGGATATTGAAATTGGCCGACTCTGGGCCAGTGACGGCGTTCCACCTCGGACGCCGGCGGCGGGGTCGCCGCCGCGCCGACCCAACGCGAACGTGCCGCACCTACGGACCCAGACTACGGCCCGCCAGCGTTACTGATACGGTCACGTGTGATCCACTGTAGTCAAGCCGAGCCTCTCCCCCCTCCGTCAAGGAAAATGCTTTGCCAAGGAGGAGGAGGAGGAGGAGGAGGAGGAGGAGGAGGGCGAGGACGAGGAGGACCGATCCGCTGCTGATCAGTCCAGGCAGCCTCGAGGACACGGCGGCCCTGGGGCTAGCCTGCAGGCTGCAAGGTGTGCGACGAGACGTACATCGATCGCGCCGCTGCTCAGAAGGGCCGCTGGCCGACGGAGAAGGCCAACGATTGCAGCAGCTCAGCCCAGTGACTCTTGCCTCAGCAATCAACGACCTGGCAGCGCAAGCTGCCGAAGAGCCCATCGGCACCAGGCAAAGGGCCAGAAAGCAGAGCGCGCTGCCACAGCAATCACTCATACTATGACCACTGCCGAGATCGTTGCTGGTGCTACTGCCACCGACTCAGTGCAACATCAAATGCGCACACAGCGACCACCAACATTCTAACATGTATCAGACGTGCTACCAGCGGCATTATCTATTTCATCGGCCATCTATATATATATATATATATGGAAATACCTATCCCAACTGCTCAATTCAGCCTTTGCTGTGCATGTCACTGGTTCCAGACGGCTGGCTATCCAATGCCAGCAGTCGGAGGACGCTCCGGCTTCTGACAGTTCTACAATTCCGACCTGCTGCAAAACGGCGCGCAGCTGATTCCATGCATCACACGTGTTACACAATGTCAACATCATAGAGCAGAGAAATGAACTCGACACGCTTCGTACTACATGTTACCAGCTACGATCTACTACCCCATGTCAGTCCTTTCCTCGTGGTCCTTCCTCCTGCCCAGGCTTGGTTCTGCTGGGGCGCGGCCGTGGATGTGGCAGCCGCGGTCTGGCCAGTACGAGAAGAAGTGGCAGTCCTGGGTGTCGGCGCACCTCGGCGAGGGGAAGAGGAGGGGACGAATCGGAGCAGCAGGCCAAGGCAGGAGGGGGGTGGGCCGAGGCATGCGTTTGCCCATTATGACGTCTTGCGCATTGGGACGTCTTGCACACGTGTTGGGGCAAATATTTCCATACCATTTTGATGCACACCCTCAATAGTCGGGCGTCCTCCGAGAAGAATCCCGCAGGGCGCGAAACTACATCGACGCATGTCCATCGCCCAGCTTGATTGTCCTTCCTTGATCCTGGGCGTCCTCGCGCTTCCCCTTCGTTCTCTCCGCTTCCGCCAGAGACTAGGCACGGGAAGAAAACCAGGCAAGGGCGGAACACCTGGACCTCGCCCTGGAGGCGGAGACAGCGTCCCTTCGAACGGTGGGAGATGAGGAGAGGGACTTCCCAAGGGCATTCCCAAGCCGACCCTGTGGAGAAAAAAAAAGGGGAGGAGAGGAGAAACAGCACCAGGAACATGAGAAGCAGCAGCAGCGGAATCGGCAAATGAGGGGGAGGAGAGACCAATCAGGACACGCCCTCCATCGTGCCGTTCCCCATCTTCCCTTTACCACTACGTGATGGCGGAAATCCTGGAAATCCCTTCCCCCATCCCCTCAATCCCCTGTCTCTCATGCCCTCCAACACCCCAACACCCCTCCCCCGAAAACCGCTTCCCTTCAAACCCATCCCACCCCCTCACCCCTGGACCAAAGCGTCCAAAACCCTCCTCAATAACCTCATGCCCGTGAGAATAAACACTAGGGGATAATAAAGTTCGGGGTTCAGGGAGAGATAATAAACGTAGCCCAGCAGACCTCAGCATAATCTCGAAGTAAGAGATGATCAAGAGGAGACCAAGCCGAGCACGTTTTGAGACATCCTTGGCGTTTAGTGTTCATCGAAATATCCTCAACAATGGCTGATCTCTCATGAAAATTGTTTTTTGTAAGTGCTCGTGTAGGGTAGCTCATGTGCCTCAATTTCCATGGATAATCAACCCCAGAGATAAAAAAGTTCAGGCGAGCGTGGTGACAGAGAGAAATATAAAAGAAGAATAATACAGTAGAAGAATAATAAGAAAGAAGAAGACGAAGAGGAGAATAAGAAGAGGACGAAGAAAGGAAAAATCCAAAGTTCCAAATCTATCAATTTTAATTTACAAACGCTTTATGGAAATTGATTTTTTTAAGTGCTCGTGTAGGGTAGCTCATGTGCTTCATTTTCCATGGATAATCAACCCCAGGGATAAAAAAGTTCAGGCGAGCGTGAGGACAGCTAGAACTATAAAGGAAGAAGAGGAAAGTAGAATAATAATAAGAACATTGCTCGTTTCGTTTGAGTCTGCGTCCCAAAATTATTGGTTTCGCTTGACACATCCTGAAAAAGTGTGATCGATTCGCTTGATGTTGCTATATCAACATCGCTTGATGTTGCTATCTCAACATAGCGTTTCGAGGTGATAATGAAGTTCGGCCTCAGCGCTCGCCGCCCAATTTGAATTTTTGTATAGGGCGACGATAATCAACTCTAAACACTGAAGGGGGGGTCCCTTTATTATCATCGGCATGCGGTTATCCCCACCCTAGGACCTGGAGGCGCCAAGGTAGCTCGAAGTGAATGCCCCTCATATCGTTATGGGCGACACTGCTTCGCACGAGAGTGCACGCCAGAACGGCCATATGTGTGTGTACATGTTCTTTTCCAGTTGCGTTAAGCAACGCGCGCCAGCAGCGGGAGGCGAGGAATATGCAAGCTCCGATGCACATGACCGTATGAACGATGCAAGCTCATACGAATGCACTAATCTGAAGATCGCATCGCGGTGAGCCGACTCCGCCAGTGACTCGTGAGATAAAGCATGACAGTCGGGGACAGGTATCAAGCAGTGGCCATGGTGCAGGCATGGAAGATCATTGCAGAATCCGTCGAAAGAAGGACAGGCAAATCCCTCCAGTTCTGCTCCACTGCCTCCTCCTCCTGCTTCGTCTCTCCATCCGCATCCTCCTCCTCCGCCTCCTCATCCTCCTCCTCCTCCTCATCCGCCTCATCATGATCACCGCTACCACCAGCACCATCACCATCACCATCAACATCACCATCACCATCACCATCACCATCATCATCATCATCATCATCATCATCATCATCATCATCATCATGAGCATCAGCATCAACATCATCATCATCATCATCAGCATCGGCATCATCATCATCATCAGCATCATCATCAGCAGCAGCATCATCGTCGTTATCAACAGTACCAGCAGTATTATTACAATCATCACCAGCAGCATCAGCAGCATCATAGTCATAATCATCACCGACATCAGCATCATCACCACCATCATCACCATCACCATCATCAGCAGCATCATCCTCATCATCCACATCCTCCTCCTCCGCCTCCCCCTCCTCATCCTCCTCATCATCGTCGCCATCACCAGCATCACCATCATTGTCATCAGCATCAGTATCCTCATCATCGACATCATCCTCATCAGCAGCATCATCAGCATAGTCAGCATCATCATCATCATCATCATCATCATCAGCATCTTCATAATCGGGATCGTCAACATCGTCCTAATCATCAGCATAATAACCAGCATCAACACCAGCATCACTATCACCATCATCAGCATCAGCATCAGCATCATCATAAACATCATCACCAACAGCATCCTCAGCATCATCCGCATCACAGCAGCATTAGCATCAACAACACCATCATCAGCATCATCATCAGCGGCATCAGCAGCAGCAGCATCAGCGTTACCCTCCCCCTCATCATCAGCATCATCATCATCAGCATTATCATAATCATCATACGCATCAGCATCTGCATCAGCAGCATCATCGTCATCACCATACTGATCATCATCAATATCAGCATCATCAGCCGCGTCATCCTCATCCTACTTATGTGTAGCATCATCATCGTCGCCATCGTCAGTATCATCATCAGCAAACGCAGCATTAACAGCACCATTACCACTAGCATCAGCATCATCGATATCCTAGTCGTGAGCATCTCCCGCATCGTCAGCAGACTCATCACCATCGCCGGCATCACCATCCTCCTCCTCATCATCATCCGCATCATCAGCATCATCAGCATCAGCCTCATCAGCATCAGCCTCAGCATCAGCATCTTATCATCAGCAGCGTCATCAGCATAATCATCAGCAGCAGCATCAGTATCATCATCACCATCATCATACTCATCATCATCACCATCATCAGCAGCATCATCGTCATCATCAGCATCAGCAGCATGGGCACCATCACCATAATCAGCACCAGTATCACAATCGTCATCACCACCATCAGCATCATCAGTATCAACAGCATCGTCATCATCATCAGCATCAACATCATCATCGTCATCAGTATCATCACCAGCAGCATCATTGTCGTCGTCGGCGTCGTCGTCTCCTCCCCGCCTCATTATTAAAAAAAACCCTCTCGCTCCTCCAAAACCAGCTCCTGTACCCCATCCGTGTCCTCCAACACGTCCCTCCTGCCCCTCCTTGGTCACATCCTCCTCTTTTCACTTCCTCCTCCTCCTCCACCACTTCTTTCTTCTCACTCTAGATCGAGCCCCAGATCTGCCCTGAAGCGCATTCAGACCAGGAGTCCGAGGCGGACCCAGCCGCGGCGAGATCCGTCGACAGATCTCCGCAGAAGGGTGTGGAGGCACATCTGGCCATCCGCGGCCCGGGAGGGAGCAAGGGCGGGACGGGGGGGGGGGGAGGCAGGGAGGGAGGGAGGGAGGTCTGCGTGGAGCCTTGGGAGAAGAGGAACAGGGGGAAGAGCAGGAGGAGCAGCAGGAGCAGGAGTTTGAAGAAGCTTGGAGAAGGAATACTGACGACAGGAAAGAGGGAAGAGGAGGGGGCACAAGGCGGAGGAGGAAAGCAGGTGGAGAAGGTGGTGGAGGAGGAGGGAAAGAGCGAGGATAGCGCGGAGGAAAAGGGAAGAGGAGGAGGGGGAGGAGGAGGAGGAGGGAAGAGGGACGGTCGGCGTGGCGCCCCACGACCTGCCTAAGAGCAACGTGGAGAGGAAGCAGGGACCCTGCAGGAGCGAGGAGGGAGGGAACGGAGAAGCGAAGAGGGAAATAATGAGCTCGATTGGAACGTCCCTATCTCAGCGCGCCTCTGCTGGCAATGCCCCCAGCTGTTCTCCTCGCTCCTGCCGCGCGCGGACGTGCCGCAGGGGAGACCCTCAGGGAGCCACGAAAGGGAGAGGGGGGAGAATCCTCCTCTTCCTCCTCCTTCTCCTCCTCCTCCTCCAACCACCAAATCCTCCACCTCCTCCTCCTCCTCCTCCTCCTCCTTCTCCTCCTCCTCCTCCTCCTCCTCCTCCCCCTTCTCCTCCTCCTCCGCCCCCTCCCCTTTCTCCTCCTCCTCCTCCTCCTCCTCCTCCTCCTTCTGCTCCCTTTCCTCCTCCTCCTCTCCTCCTCCTCCTCCTCCACCATGATCCTCTTCCTCCTCCTCCTCCTCCCTCCTCCTCCTCCTCCGCTTCCACCTCCTCCCCCCCTATTATTAGTGTTCCTCCTCCTCCCCCTGCTCCTGCTCCTGCTCCTGCTCTGTCTCCTCCTCCTCCTCCTCCTCCTCCTCATCCTCTTCCTCTTCCTCTTCCTCCTCCGCCTCCTCCTCGTCCTCCTCTTTCTCCCCCTGCTCCTCGTATTCCTCGTCCTTCTCCCCTCTTCCTCCTCCTCCTCCTCCTCCTCCTCTTCGTCCCACGGGTTCCCGTGCGCGGAATTGGCCGCGCGCACTGGAACCCGTGGGGCGAACCACGGGCCCCGCTACCATGAAAGTCTGGTAGGGATCTTTTGCCCTGGATGAAAACAGCACTTGATCCGAACACTGGCGGCGCAAGTTCCCACGTTTGCCTCTCAAACCTGCTCGCCCAATCGGGATGCTATACACTGGCACCTCCTCCTGATCCTGCTCCTGCTCGTTCTCCTCCTCCTACTCCTCCTCCTCCTCCTCCTCCTGCTCCTCCTCCTCCTCCTGTTGTTTCTCCTCATGTTCCTCATCCGCCTCCTCTCCTCCTCGATCCTCCTCCTCGATCCTCCTCCTCCTCCTCCTCAGTGGTCCTTCTCCTCCTCCTCCTCCTCCTCCTCCTCAGTGGTCCTCCTCCTCCTCCTCCTCCTCCTCCTCCTCCTCCTCAATCGTCCTCCTCCTCCTCTTCAATCCGCCTCATCCTGATGCTCCTTCTCCTCCTCCTCCTCCACCCCCGCCTCCTCTTCCCCGTCAATCCGCATCCTAAAGCCACCTCCTGACTTGTCAGTGTTCTGTATCCTCTGCCTCCTCCTCCTCCCGCTCCTCCTCCTCCTCTTCCTCCGCTTCAAGTTCCTCCTCGTTCTCGTCCTCCTCCTCCTCCTCCTCCTCCTCCTCATCATCATCATCATCGTCATCCGCCTCGTAATCCTCCTCCGCATCCTCCTGTTTCTCTCCTACTCGATCATCATCCTTGCCACCCCCCCGCATGATCAGTATACTCATCATCAGCAGCACCTGCGTCATCAGCATCATCATCAGCAACCGCATCAGCAGCAGCATCAGCAGCAGCTTCATCACCAGCATCACCATCAAATCAACAGTACAATCGTCATCACCAGCATCACCATCAGCGTCACCATCAGCAGCATCATCATCATCATCATCATCATCAGCATCATCATCAGTATCATCGTCATCATCATCATCATCAGCATCATCATCCGCAGCATCATCAGCATCACCATCGGCATCATCATCAACAGCATCATTAGCAACATCACATTCATCCTAATCAGCATCATCATCATCATCATCATCATCATCATCATCATCATCATCATCATCATCAGCATCATGAACATCACCATCAGCAACAACAATGGCATCAGGCTCAGTATCAGCCTCAGTATGACCAGCATCATCATCAGCAGCAGCAACCTCAGCAGCATCGTCAGCATCCGCAGAATCACACTCATCGGCAGCACTATCAGCATCATCATCATCAGTGGCAGCATCATCAGCATTAACATCGTCAGCACCATCAGCATCACCATCGCCATCAGCATCATCGACAGTCTCACCATCAGCAGTATCATCAGCATCAGTAGCATCAGCATCATCATCGTCAGCATCAGCATCATCATCAGCATCATCAGCGTCGCCAGCATCATCATCATCATCAGCAGCAGCAGCGCCATCATCGTCATCGGCAACAGCAGCAACAACCGTTGCAACAACCGCAGCATCAGCCGCATCATCATCAGCACGTTGATCCTCATCATCAGCAGAACCATCAGAATCACCATCGGCAGCAGTCCATCTTTACCATCGGAAGCAGTATGATCATCATGATCAACAGCATCGTCATCGTCAACATAAACAGCATCATCATCGTCGGAATCAGCATCAGAAGCATTATCGTCATCATCAGCATTGTCAGCACCATCAGCATCATCATCATCAGCATCAGCATCATCATCATCAATCTCGTCAGCAGCAGCATCAGCAGCACACTCATCACCATCAGCATAATCAGCAGCAGCAGCAGCCGCATCATCGTCAGCATCACCATCACCAGCAACATCATCAGCATCATCATCCTCATCAGCAGCATCATCACAATCAGCAGCAGCCGTTGCAAACACCGCAGCATCATCAGCAGCATCATCAGCATGATGGACATCATCATAACCACCATCATCAACACCAGCATCAATCTCACGATCCGCATCAGCATGATCATCAGCATCATCAGCGGCAGCATCATCCGTATCCGCCGCATCGTCATTACAAGCATCATCATCAGCAGCAGCATCATCAGCATCGCCATCATCATCCTTATCATCATCATCATCATCATCATCATCATCAGCATCATCGTCATCATCAGCAGCATCATCGGCATGAGCATCAGCACCAACGTCAGCATCAACGCCATCATCGGCATCATTACAATAATCATCAGCGTCAGCATCACCATCGTCCTCACCACCATCATCAGCAACACAATCATCACTAGCCTTATCATCAGCAGCACCCACATCACCCTCCTCATCATCACCATCAGCATCAGCAGCATCAGCAACAGCATCATCATCACCCTCAACATTATCATCGTTGTCGTCGTCATCGTCGTCGTCGCCGACGCTGGCGTCGTCGTCGTCAGCAGCAACATCAGCATCAGCATCAGCATCAGCATCAGCATCAGCATCATCGCCATCACAATAATCAGCAGCAGCAACAGCAACAGCGGCCGCATCATCAACGCAATCCGCATCCTCCTCCAATCATCATCAGCACCTCCCATCACCATCATCATCAACATCATCATCATCATCATCATCATCATCATCATCATCATCATCGTCAGCATCATCAGCATCATCATCACCAGCAGCAGCATCATCACCATCTTCACCATCATCAGCCACACCATCATCAGCAGCATCACCATTAGCAACGTCAGAATCGCCAGCATCGTCAACATCATAATCATCAGCATCATCATCATCATCAGCATCATCATCATTAACAACATCATCTTTATCGTCGTCGTCGTCGCCATCATCAGCTATCGCAATAGCATCACTGTCACAATCATTATCACCATCTGAATCAGCATCGTCGCATCATCCATGGCCCCATTCGCACCCTCACCATCATCCTCAGCTGCAGCATCCTCGTCAACAGCAGCAACAATCAGCACTCCCAGCATCATCAGCAGTATCATCAGCAGCAGCATCATCAGCAACATCACCATCAGCACCATCAGCATTAGTACCAGCATCACCATCACGCTCAACCATCGTTCCTCCCCCCTCAAAGAGATCATGCACACCACCAAGGAATGTGCATACACGGGGTTACGTGTTTCTAGTGGCGTATTTGCTTCAAGTTCTCTCAAATATATAGCGCAATCGTTCGCTGCTCGTGGGGGAAGAATGTCCCTGAAACCGAAAACGTTGTACGGTCGGGCTACGGAAGGTTCCACCCACCCACCCGTGGCAAGCGTGCGGCGAGGACCAAAAGGGATCGGCCGCATCCTGGGCGCTCAACAACGACATTCCCCCTCCTGATCCCTCCTGCCCACTCGTCCCCCGCTCCATCCTCCTGGTCCATCCTCCGCCTTGCTCCTCATATTCCTCCTCCGCCTGCGCCTCCTCCGCCGCCTCCCCACTCTTACACCTCCTGTTCGAAAATACTGTTATATTCGTCATTCGCTTGGTCTGCCTCATCCTCTTTCTCCTCCTACTCGCTCGTCCTCTCCCTCGTCCTCACCAGCATTATCACATCACCAGCATCAGCATCAGCAGCAACAGCGTTGTCGTGGTCGTCCTCGCCCTCGTCGTCATCCGCATCGTCATCAGCATCATCAGCATCGTCAGCATCAGCATCACCATCAGCAGCAACAACAACAATATCATAATCATCATCATCATCAGCAGCATCATCAGCATCATCAGCATCAGCATCAGCATCAGCATCAGCATCATCAACATCATCATCATCATTATCATTATCATCATCATCATCATCATCATCATCATCATCATCATCCGCAACAACATCATCAACGTCATTAACGGCACCATCGTCGTCGTCACCATCAGCATCCTTATCATCAGCGTCAGCATCATCAGCATCGTAAACAGCACTACCGTCGTCACCAGCATCAGCAGCAGCATCATCACCAACATCCACATCATCATACCCATACGCGTCCTCCTCCACATCAAGAGTATCATCATCAGCAGCAGCAACATCAACATCAGCATCAACATCATCAACATCATCACCAACAACAACTACAACAACAACAACATCAACCTCACCCTTACCGTCTCCCTCCTCCACGTCCCGCCTTCACTCCGTGTTTCCCGTCCTTTCCCGACTCATGCTCCTCCTGCTCCTGTCCTCCTCGTCCCCTCTCCCCCTCACGCCAACAAGGATTGTCCCGCCACCACCGCTTCCAGCACTGCCACCAGCACGCGAGGAACGCAAGCGAGCTCCCGCCCACCCCGACACTTCCAGTATGACCAGCCCCACTGGCACACAGACAATGATACTTCCTCTGGCGAAATTGGATGACGAGATCGGTGGACGTGCACATCACAGGTCCCGTCAACGAAAACCCGCCGTAAACCTCTGGTGACCTCCGAGAACCGCTACGACCGAACTCCTAGTCTACACCTGACTGTCAAGCACCGCCGAGAACTTCCTCCTCCCCTTCCTTCTTCGCTTCTTCTTGTCACCCATCCTCCACCCTCCATCGTTTCTCCTCCTCCCCCTCGCTCCTCGCCTCTCGATTCTCCTCGCTCCTGCCGCCTCCTCATCCTCCAAGGTTGCGCCCCCTTATCCTCATCTTCATCAGCCACCAACACCAAAACCACCACTACAACCACCATCATCAGCATCATCAGCAGCAGCACCACCACCAGCAGCATCAGAATCATCAGCATAATCAGCATCATCAGCATCACAATAATCATCATCATCGGCAGCAGCATCATCAGCATCATCAGCATCATCAGCATCATCAGTCATCATCATCATCATCATCATCATCATCATCATCATCATCATCATCATCATCATCATCATCATCAGCATCATCAGCAGCACCATCACTCATACGTATCATCATCATTTGCGTCATCCCCATCCTCGCCATCACCCTGATCCTAATCCTCATCAGCATCAGCATCATCATTATAAGAGAAAGCGTGATCCACTGCCGCTTTGCTGTGGAAAATTCCCCCCTCTTCCTCCGGAACCAGGGGGTCCCCCCCCGCTCCGAAAATCCCCCCCCTGCTGGACCCCCCCCCCTCCCCCCGGCAAATCCACCCCCCCCGAAGCCACCCCCCCTCAGGAAAACTGGGGGGGGTCACTAACAGTTCGAGACCCCGAACCACCCCCCTCTGGAAAACCGGGGGGGGGGTCACTACCGGTTCGAACCCCTCCCCTCTACCCCCAAGAAAACCAGAGAGGGGTCACTATCAGTTCGAACCCCCCCCCTCTAGAAAACTGGGAAGGGTCACTACCGGTTCGAACCCCCCCCTTCCTCAGAAAACCAAAGGTCACTACGGGTTCGAACCCCTCCACCCCCTCCAAAAAACCGGGGAGGGTCACCACTGG